GTGAAGGACTTCCACGTAGTTTCTCTCCGCCAATTTGCTTCCTTATCGGGCTAAAAAATGCCAGGAATCCGGTCGATCGCCTGCTTCCGATATCCTAGCCGTGAACGTCCTTCCTCCGTGATAAGAAATTCCTCGAGGTAAGGTTAATGGACGTACTTAGGCGGTGACTCGCTCCCGGGCCACTTTGTACGCTTCCCCGTGTTGCTCTGCGCCTCGTGTCCGATATAATAGTCGAGATAATGCCACTCTGTTGCGTCACAGGCGTGGAAGGTATCGATAATTCCGGCCAGATTCCGTGAGGACGCGTAAAAGTTCGGTTCCTCTGCTCAGGGCCTCTTGGTCCTGTCGCTCGTGATAGCGATCTGTTGGCCAGCCTGTCCGGGGGTGATGGGAATTAGTCGGTACGTATAGAGGGCCTTCCTTACGAGCGCCGTAAAATTGGAAGACGTCGACGACAGGGGTGTAGCAGGAATTCTAGGGTCTATTTCTATCTTATGGCTGAAATAGTCGCGATCGTGGACAAGCCGTGGGTGTGTTTAGGTGACGTTTTCAACGGTAATTGCTTGGGACAAGGAGCAGCAACGAGAGACAGAGGGAGAGAGAGAGAGAGTGCAGGGTGGCTGTGATACGGACAGGCCATCTTCACTCCTACGCCGTTCGATTGAATGACGTCAATCTTCTGATTACCTAAGCTTACGCGATTCATCCGCCTGCGTTGGAGCGGAGGTAAAGCACGAAACGTATTATTAAATTGAAGTCCTAGCCGCTGACGGTCAAAGCGAATGTCACTGCACGCACCGACAGCTTCGAGTGCAGATAAATTATGCACGGTCGACAGGGTACTTTTAATTAGATATGATTGAGGATAAAGGTCACCGCACATATCCGCAATTACCGTACGAGCGATCAATATAATCCGAACTTCTTTGCTCTGGCACTGATTGATCCTCATTAGCAGTCTAATTCTTTTTTCGTTTGTTCCAGGCGAGCTGTACGTGGAGGACCTAGGAGAGAGGCGGATCGTTTCCATCAGAATGGGCTGGCTTTGGGTCGAGGGTACTCCGATGAGGCTCCCATTGAGGGCGTTGAACCTACGCCAGGCAGCACCCAGCCTATGCCAACCGCACGCATTGGCTCTTGGGTTCACGTTGAGCAACTCGCAGGATCACACTCTCGCTACGTTTTGGGTAACCTATCATATTTTACGAGCTATCCGAGGTACCGCAGCGAAACCGCTTTAGAGGCCATAGGCTCGAGACCACCGTGCCGGGGGATTTTCAGAGTTTCGTACCTTTGTCAGCGTGTAATTCGAGGAATAACAATATCAGAGACACGCAGCGGAAAGAAGGAAGAGGCGGAGGGGCGGGAGATAGAATAATTCGCCGCAACACGCAATGTAATTGCATGTAAATGGCCTTTATCTGCGGCACGATCTGTTTCCTTGCCCGCAAACACTTTCTCGCCTTGGTCGGAGCTCCTGTTTTGCTAAACGCCGCAATTTCTAATTACGCTCTGCCAGCGTCGCTGTTCGATTTCTATCTAGTTATACAATCCTGCTACCTATCGATTTACGGCTTGCGCCGAAAGTTTCGATTCGCTCGACTTTCTGCGCTCGGTTCTTCGAATTCGAGGCGTATCCCGACGACGTTGCGCGAAACTCGGATTCCAGTTAGTCCCGGGAGTGTGCCACGGATAAGGGACCGATGGGAAATTCGCGAAGGTCGATGGATAAGATAAGGAAGAGACGCAAAGGACGCGGCAGGTGACGTAACTCGCATCCGTCCGAGGCGCGGAAGGTAATAAGGTCAGTAGGCAAGGTCAAAATCCGCCGGCACGATCACGACGATAAGCGGACGCGTGGGAGATCCGCGCGCCATTCTCCCATGACCCGGCATTGTCAAGGAGTCCCACCATCCTCCTTTCCTGGCAAACGAGTTCCTTCGCCTCGTTGCCTTACTGACTCAAAGGACGTTCGCGCGGTCATCCAGCAACGTCTCGTTCGGACAAAGGCTGAATTGCCATTCAGGGATCTTAATGATCGCCGGTAATTGAGTTTAATCGACTGGCAGGTTTCCTGCGTTGCGTTTCTTCGAATATTTCAGGAATAGCTAGTCAGTGGTAGCTCTACGCGTCGGCATTCGTACGGTATCTAGGCACGGGATTAAAATTTACTAAGAGAGATGTATCTTTTGTTGTACAGGCGGATTCAGAGCCTGTCTACTGGTCGTGGGTCAGAGCAATCGCTGCCGAGCTGGTCAGGCAAACGCCATTTCGGGCTCAACGATGCTTGAACTTCCTAGAGATTCTGACCATCTGCCCGAGAGGACCTGTCCCTCTACCCGACAGCCCTACAGAATCCAGAAGACGTTCGAGAAGCGAACTACGCTGCTGGCCCAGTGATTCACCTACGGAAAAGGACTCCAGGACTACCACGACGATACTGGAGGAGTCGAGGCGAAGAGCGAGGAGCGAGCTGAGGGGTTGGTCCAGCAGCAACTCGAGCGACGAGGACCTTTTGGGTGACTTTCGAAGTATACCCGCGATAATAACGAAGGATCAGCCGATTACCAGGACTTGGGGCTGCAGCGAAAGTAGCGAAGGCAGCGACGACAGTCTTCCTTGGAGTGGCGTGTGTCGTTCCAGCGTGGATTCCGTCGACTCCACGGTGTCTCTTCCCGAGCCGGAGACCAGAGAGCAGAGAATTCAGAGGTACAAGGAGGCGAGAAGACGGGAGAACGAAGCTAGGAGTAGAAGGGTGCTGGAGGAGGACGCCAGGAGACGGAAGGCTAGAGCGGAGGAGAACAACAATGATATCCTGAAGACTTACGGGTCGAGTAGATCGAGGAGTAGGCTCTATTCCGGGAACGACAACGACAATTACTGTCTAACTTCGACGAAGAAAGACCACGACAGCGGTTACGAAACGTCTAGGCTGAGGAACGAGAAGAATATCATTAGCAGACTACCCCCGGTGAAACCTAACGAATCCTCCTTGGTTAGATTCGAGGAGGACAACCGGAACGAGGACGATAAAAGGAACAACAATAGTCCGCGAAACGGTAACACGAGTCCTGGAATACTCAGAGCGGACATGAACGAGAGAAGAAGTCGAGCCAGGGAGAGGAGGAGCGTCAGAGAGAAGAGCCAGCTGCTACAAACGCAACAGTTCACGAATATCATGGTAGAGACACTCCAGGAACGCAAGGAACGGCTGATCCAATTATCCAGAATCCCGGTACCTCGGCAACTATCGCAGAACTTGAAACCTGCAGAGAACTGCAATTCGACGGCTCTGCCTAGGTCGTCGACCTCTCTGTCGGTCCTCACCGAACCACCTTGCGAGGAAGACGTGGCCAGACTTCTGGAACGGTGTCAGAGGGTGGATCACTACGTGCCAGTGCGAGAGAAGCTGACATTGTTCGAATCTCTATCAAGGCTAGGTGGTCGTCTGGCCAGAAGTACCGAAGACCTCGGTCGAACGTCTGCGAAACCGAGTCCCAGAGGGAAGCAACGTGCCAGATCTCTTCACGATCTCAACAGAGGAGCCAGGGCTGTCCCTGTCAGGGAGATGTGTCGATTCTTCGAGGGAGACGTAGAGCAGGATCCGAACCAGAAATCCTCCCTTACCAAAACAAGGTTCAGCGACCCGGTGACGCCTACCAGGAGCACGTGGAAGGATTCCGCGAATCCCAAGGGCAACGAGGCGCCGTGCGTCAGGTCGTCGACGAGGAAGAAACATTACATGAAGTAATTCATCGACGATCCCAGTCCAGGTCTGCTGAGCGATCCTATATGTTCGAAAGCAGGTCTTTCCGAAGAACATAGCCCGTTCTGGCACACGAGGGCGACGGGAAAACGCGTCGAGGTCCGAGGAATTTCTGGAAGCAACCGTGGACCGTATCGCGAAGTTAGAAAGGATCGGTATCGATCAGTTTAGACGCGAATCCGTTCTCCCGACTGCGATGGATCGTCACACTCGTGTCGAGAGAAAGTCGCTGCCTGGAGCAGCTTTTTTGCTCTCCAGGATTCGAACTGTGCTCGATTCGAAGTCTCGATCGAATGTTCCTCGCGACACGAGCAACCGGCGATTGCCGCGCGAACCACGGACAGGAAGAAATTCGAAGTTTTTGCCAGCGACTTTGTAAATTTTTGTTATTTATTGTATTTCGTTTCGTTTTTCTACGAGATTCCCCGGAGCTTGCGAGCCCCGCGAACGTGATTCGACGTCACGGATAAAGAGTGTGTCGAATCGAAAGATGAGGAGGAAAGGAAAAAGAGAGGGAATAGGAGAAACCGGTAATTTCCATTCACCGAGCGATTGTCGCGTACAGAACACCTGCCGAATGCAAGTCGAAGGCGGTCTCCGATTCCTCGACTGGCCGACCGACTCGTGGAATCGTTAATATCCGAGGGGACGAAAATATCGAACGAGAGACTGAACGATCCACGTGAATCGATTCCGAGGAGCTAAGATATTTCGTCGGATCGGATAAAACTTATGTTCTAAGCGTTGTTTCCGCTGTTCAAGTGGCAATTATCCTTGTATAAATAGATTAACCTAGACGATGAGGGTTCTATGGCCCCGAAAGGCAATCAGAGCTCGTTTCATCTTGTACAGAAAACGATTATATTTTTTCTTTCACGCGTACCTGAATAAAAAAAGAAAAAAAAGAAAAAATGGAAAAGAATAATTCTCGTTTAATTGAGCCGTCGTTGTAAATAATTATTTAGTGGAAAAACGGGAGCTTGGAGAACGTAATGGCTATCGGTCGGATCTCGAACATCCGTTTCGACGAACGGCGCGTGAACTAATGTCGACTTCCGTTTGCTCTTCCAGTCGGGACGAACATTTCCATTCCTGTTTCTCCCCTGCTCTCTCGTTCCTCTTTTTCTCTTTGGGTTCAATTAGGTCATGCGAACGGTCCCTGAACCGTGTGTGTCTCTTTCTTTTGTTCGTAAAAATAATCGCGTTAGAAACCAGACGGAAAAAAGAGAAGAAGGACGACGTCGAACGCCGATCGAGATGCAAAAACGACGATCACGCGATTTTTCAAAGCGTTTCGCGCGGAAGAGGCGTCCGCTTGTGTCGCGACCTGTCGATCATCGGTAGCCTTGAGACGTTGAATCGTTCACCGAGAGGAAATAACGCTAGATAACGAAGTGCCAAAAAAAGAAAAATAAAAAAAAAATGGGAATAAGAAGAGGAGGAAATTGTTACGTTGCTTTTCTCGAGGAGAACTGCGTGGAAACGCATAGGAAAACGCGTATGGTTGAATCCGTGTACATAGTTGTTCGTTTTTAGGATTAAAAAGATTGCTATAATTTTTCTGTTTCGTGTTTCGTGTCCCGATTATTTGTGGTCGCAGGAAAGACACGTCGGAATTGGCCTTTCCTGCGACCCACAAAACGATTATTTATTACATGTGTATAAAAAGATTACGTTATTAAGGTAGTCACGTTAAGTTGGTTCTGTGAGAATCGATCGACTGATCTTGCAAATGTATCGGCGACAATATTATACGGTAAATTAATTCGTTTAGATGAAATAGCTCTCGCCAATCAAAGAATAAGCCTTTTATTTTCGCAACTTCGTAAGAGGCATACGCGTATCGCATAGGAAGCCGTGTACGATTGTGTGACAATGTACGATTTCGCGAAATCAGTGTGCTTTGTGTAGAAACCTGTAAACTGACGGAAGTATAATGGAAATATGTGTACGACGATTACCAACGGGAAGAATAATTTAAACGACGGCGTATCGATCGAGCCTCGTTGAACGATATCTAGTTATCCAGTGCAAATTTCTACTTGTCCAACTGGCAAATTTACCGAATCTTTTCCCTCCCGACGATCTGTCACCCCCCGTGACTCGCAGAAAAATTGTCAATTTCTGTGAAACGCGTTTTCCGCGGAGGAATAAAGCGGGGAGCGGCGAATCTCCGAAATGCACAGTGGTGAAAAGCGAAAAGAGTAAAAGAAAAACAAAGGAAAGATGGAGACGACGAGTTCGCGGTAGAAGAGAGCGAACAAAGCAACGTGCAGCAAGGCTCGATCCTTACGCCGAAGCAAGCCGACGACCGTGTTCAGGGTGAGTCGTAGCAACCCCTTGCAACCGGATGTCTTATCTCCGCATTCTTTCATGCGCGTCGAGAGGAAGCACGCGCAGGTTCAGGTCGTCTGTAAAAATGTTGCGATTCGTAGCAGTGGGGCGAACGTGAGAAGTCATCCGTGGGGCAAGGGGTTGTTGGCGGAAAAAATTGGAAAAACTCGAGGCGGAGATTGTTCCGCGGAAATACGCAGCCTGTAAAACCGGTCGATCGCCAAAGAGTCCTCTAGTCCCTGGTCGGAGAAATCCGAAAAGGCTGTACATGTATCCCCTTTCCGGGGCTGCGTAACAGAACCCCCAAAAGAGATCATCATCCCTGCAATACGTACGATCCTAACGTGGCTGAAATATTCGTGTCCTAAATAATAATATAGAGAACACTCGGCGGATTTGTATGTTACGTTTGTTGTAATAAAAATGGACGAATAATGGCCGTTACATAAAAGTGATTGTCGTTAGAAAGTGGACGAGGAAGGCCTTGGCACTTCTCGTGCTCTCCGCCGCGGCCGCTTTACTTCGTTCTCTTCCCCCTATGGCTGGTTCACGCTCTTTTACACGCTTCTTTTACAACGGACACCCACACGATTTTCCTTTTCCCCTGGTCCGTACGCGGCCAGACACGCGCTCGGCCCGCTAATTAGCGCGCGTTTTCGTAAGATCGCGAGCGAAGATTGCCGGGTCTCGCGAGGTGAACTTTAGAAAAGGAGAGGCTTGTGCAACCACCGACACCGTGAAATTATTCTATCACGTGCACTGCTCCCCTTTCCGACGAAGAAAGCGGCCCAATCTCGCCCAGGGGTGGGCAGGCCGAGGCCGAAGGGAGGAAAGGCAGGGCGAGTGGTGTAGGAAGCAAGAGTCGGAGATTGAAAAGGCATGATCGTCGATGAAACGGAGTTAATTTGCGGGCTCGAGGCCGCCAGTTTTTGCAGAAGCTCTCAGACTGTCCTCCGCGCCGCTACTCTTTAACTCTCGTTTATTTGGCTTACTCGTGAACTCGTTCTTGCGTTTACAGGACCGCCCACTTTACGTTCCCGTGTAATTTTCATTCCACGCACTCGCACACGCGCTACCGCGAAAAATAGAATATTCCAGGGAGAATCGGGCAGCGGATAATTTATTTGCTGGCTTTAATGAAGTCAAATGTTGCGATAAATTTAACGATGTCGTTAGCCGGGGTACCGGGGCAGACTTACTGGAACAAGAGTACACGACCACCTGATAATCTAACTCGGCTGCGCGACGACCCGGGTGGAAAAGAATTTAGGATACACCGGAGTATCACCAGTCGTCACGGAGACCGGAGCTTATCATAATTTGCACTTTTCCTCGTCGAGTCGCGAGCAACTCGATGCACACGCACACATACCCAAGGCACACCTGCACCCGGCGCAATTTGTCTCCTCGATAAGGTGCTCGTGTTCGCTTTGATAATCACTGCTGCGCGATCGCGACGCGTCCCACCCTGGCAATAAGACCGATCGGCCTCTTTTCCTTTTGCTTATCGGCGAAAATCGCTACCACCTACGCGTGATCAGTCCGAGTTCACCCGGGGCGAGGGAGAAATCGAGGGAAGGCACGGGGTCGTTGACCGTTTACCGGGTTTCGTGCTAACTAAAGGATTTTTTCAGGGGCACCGACTTTTTCCACGGCGATCCAGCGAGCAGGTGTCCCGGGCGTGGTAAAAACAGCCGACGTAAACTAATGTCCGCCGTCCATTACGGAGTGGAGAAGGCTCGTGTGTCCCGTCGGTTTCGCGTAGAAGAAACGCGCGTAATCGAGTGACTGGCCTTGATAGTTGCCGGTGTTGGCCACGTTAACCGATTCAAAGCGAAACAGGTACACGTACTAGAGCCGCGCAGACACGGCCGCTGCGATCCCCTGATCTATCGATTGATAGTTAGCCGCTGGCTTTTCGAATGCGCGAGTCCCCTACCGCGACGCTATTTACTCGCTATTTATCTGATCGCGGTTGGAAAGAGAGCTGCTACCTTGAAAACGTTCGCGACCAACGCGAATGCGATGTTTCTCCCGTGGCAGTGACTCGGAAAGCCGTTCGGCTCAAGCTCGAGTAACCTACGATCTAAATACTGGGCCTGAGAAGAAGATTCAACCGGGTTTCTAGGAGAATCGTTAATAACTCGTGGTAGGGCGGTCCCTTTGGTCACTAAATGTCGGGTTTCGACACTGGTGGGTCGTTAGAAAGAGTTGCGATGGCATTTGCGATCGTTAAGAGGAATTAAGCAGCTGTTAGCTTTCTAACCGCTGACAGAGATGAAAATCGAAAGCTGTCTACTTCGCTCGCCAAGGAGTTGCCTTCGGATTACAATGGCTATCGGTTGCATGCCATTCGCTTACCATGCACTTGTCGTATTCGGTTTGATAAGCATAACGGTTTCCTCGCGAGCCGCACTCGTGCCCCATCTACAGTTCGCGTCACGTTCAGGCTGCGACGCGAAGCCCGGTGCCTAGCGGGACGTCGCGACGCGTCGGTTTCTTTTTTCATCCAGAATGCAGATTTTACCAACCGAGCACGAGAGAGCTCGAACCGGCTAGAAGAAGACAGACGCGTCGCCATCTAGCACGAAGTAAAGAACGATCTCTGTTACGCCGGTGAGCAACGAGCACGGCCTCGCACCTGGTCTGATGGGTAGAATAGGAATCGTGCCTGTCA